GCAGCACTGTCACTTAGCCTATTCTTCTACCAGAAAGCTTGAATTTTACTGTGTATCATAAGAGATGGATATAGGTTACCTCTAAAGCTCAAGAATTCACTCCTCATTTAATACACTGAAGAAGAGGAGAAGAATAAAGTTGCTGGCAGATCTGTCCATAAGGAGGAAATACACCCACCACACTGGATCAGTTAGTTCTGAGGAGTTTGTCACAGCAGAGGCTCAGTGAAGACGCGTCATAGGCCGGTTGGTTTTAGTTTAGCTGTGATCTTGTACAGCAGGTTCAAAGGTATGTTGCAGGAGCACTTAATACAAGGAAAAATTCATCAGGTTATTAGACACAAATACCTGGCCTGTCTTGGGAAGCCTTGTGGTCTCCTGACCACAGCGTGCAGGAATGTGAATGAATTCCTGCTCTCTGCTTGCCTTGTTTTACATACTCTTCCCTCAGCATCTGCTGCTGTCAGGCTAATAGAGATGGAGGTCTCTCATCTGCCCCTGTATCATCATCTTTACAAAACCTATTCCATGGAATACTTCAGTGACCTCAGAGTACTTCAGTTGTGTTCTTCTAGATGTTTAACTCTCCGAACTCGAGCACTACCATGGAATGCAAAACAACTGATGGTGTTTGCAGAGCCGAGTGTGTGCATCGGTATGTCTGTATACAGCTGACAGTGTACAAATACTTTGAGATTAAACCTGGAAGTTCACTGGCCAGTTCTTCTGTTTCAGCTGTATCACTAAGAAAAAGCTGTTTAAGAGCAGGCAAAGTGCGTGTAAAGATGCGCAGAGACCAGTCCAGGCTTAGAAATCTAGCTTAAAACATCTTCCATGTAAAGAGCATTCTGGAAATGCTGTGATAGAGAAGAGAGGGAGAGACTGATATTGTGCCCCTTTAAAAATGTATGATTACTATCTAAAAATGGTCAGCTCTGCTTACCTTAAATGTATCCTGCAGTGAATGGGATGATGCTGTCTGCTGGCTGGCTTTCAGCTCCTGAAAGCTTATGGAACACTTGACTTTTAGCCTCTAAATGTCTTCCATTTTCATGAGATTGATCTTTTTGCTTACTAAGCTCATCTTAAATAGGATTGTTAAACAATTTTTTTCAGTCTCCTGCTACTACAGAAACAGCCCCTTGTAAATGCTAACACTGAACTTCACTGGAGAAGTCATCCTAGTCAGCAAAAGTAGCCCTTTTAAAAGGACAGACTTATCTCAGTGGCAACTTAATACAGTCTCTCTGAGTTACGTGCCTCTGCCAAAGTAAAATTGAATCTTTGGAGGTAAAATTCAATGTTAGCTTCAGTTTCCTCCTCCTGCCCTCTGACAGCCATGCATAATATGTGAATTGTGTTGGTTTACATACCTCATAAGGCTGCCTCTAGTGTATGTGAGATAATTCCAGCTGATAGAATCACAGCTGCCCTGAGATGCCTCTTTGCTTTAATATTTGGGATCTTCTCTCCAAATAGTACTGTTCCTGTCACTTCTGCACTCCTGTATCGTGGTCTGAATTTTTTATTGTATTAATCCCTAATGGTACAGGCACAATTTCCTTAAACCAGGCAAAACCTCCCCTAATGCATTGGATAGACCAAGCAACTAATCCTGTTGTGAGCAACTTTCATATTTAATGGGTCTCTGAAGGTCAGGAGGAACAGCCGCCTGTCATCCGGCTGCTTGTGCTCTCTCTGGGGATGGGTACCTTGTGTTAGTTACCTAGGCAATCCCACTGGAACAGGCAGTGGGGTCATCTTGAAATTCATTAGATTCTTGGCTATTTCTATCTTAAATCCACAAAGTCTTTCACTTAATAGAGAGGACATAAAAAGGGTGAAGGCACTTCTGTGTTGGCCATGGATAGGAGCGGGGTTTGTCTGTAAAGCGTGCTGTATGTATTGCAGCAGTGCTGGGTAACCTCACATCAGCTGGAGCTGCACTAGGCACTGTATAGATATGTAGGAGTCACTCCCTTAAAGCATCGAAAACACAGCAAAGGGGAGAAATGATGTGTATGAGTGGGTTATGGTCTTACTGATGTGTGCCCTTGAAGTGTTAAAGATTGTGTGAGAGAGAGAGAGAAGGGAAAAAGATCTCCCCCCACGCCCTTTCTGTAGGCTCCCAGGCTGTTGTATAGCTCCCCAGCCTGTCTGAAATAGATAGAACCTCCAAAGAAGCCACAGCTTACAGCTCAAAAGAGGAACCAGTGGGGTGATGCTTGCTACTTGATCCTGTGTGGATGGCTCTTCTTAACCAGTGGCACTCACTGCCTTTATTTGTTGTTCAGGAGCTTTGTGAGACATCTCAGCCTGAGCTCCAGAATGAGTAACAGGAGCTTGTTGGAAGCAGAATTGTTTGTTGTTATTTAGAACTTGTGGGTTTAGTGTTTATTGCTGCTGAATCTGGGTGTTTCTGCTGTCCTGGTGCAGATAGCCCTCTGTGGAGTTTAAACCTGGTTCTGCTGTTGGAGAGAGCAGAACAGTGCTCTTAAATACTCCATCAAAGTGTTGGGTCACTGTTAGCTTTCTTAGTGGCTTGGATTAGCATCTTTTAATTTGGTTAGTCTTTAAATGTGGGTCTTGTCTACGACGCCTGTTGTCATCTGCAGCTATGACCTCTCATAATGTAGTCTATAAAATGTTCATGAAGAGTTTTGAGTTTAAATCTAAAGATCTAGTAGTTGTCCATAATAATCACTGAGGGACTGAATAAACACAGCATGTCCAGTTTATACTGGGGACACCTGGGTAAAAACTGGTGCTGCAGCTTAAAAGGGCTGATGAGAAGTAATACATATGTTGGATGTCAGCAGTACTTGCCTTTTGCTGGTCCCTCCTTAGAAAAATACTTGTTTTCATAGAACCACAGAATCAACTAGGTTGGGAAGGACCTTTAAGATCATCAAGTCCAACCATTTGGATAGTTTCCCATCTGAACATCACCTTAAGTCATGGGATGAAATGTGAAATGAGTGGGAGTTTTCTGTGAGTTTGAGGTGTCAGGATTTTCCCTGATAGTTTTGCCTTCTGAAATGTATGTTTTTGTACTTCTGTGTGTAGCATTTCAGAGGCATTTCCACTGCCCGTGTTGCTGTCTAAAAATGATGTATGTTTTCTTGTGTGTGTTTGTGTGTGGCTGTTTGGTGCCACGGGGTCTGTTGCACATGGAGCTGTGGTTACAGGATATGCTCTGGGCTCGGGCTGCTGTTTTCCAGTGTAGCTTCCAGCAGCAACAGCCTTTTGGTTTGAGCCTGGGTATGTGACAACCAGAGGTACAGCAACTACTGCAGTGCTTTCATGCCTACCTGGCTTGAAAACCAGGACCAAAAGCATGTTTCTACCCCTGTGGCATCACTTAAAGACGGTTATACAGAGGATGGATTTTATCTATTATTAACGTTATTAATAGAAGAAAGGAAGAATGTTCTTTTTATGTAAAGGCAAGGCTAAATCGTAATCATTAGACCCAATGCTCATAAGAAAAGCTATCAGATGCTTTTATTGTGGCAATCCAGTGCTCTGTTTATGTGGGTGGTGCTCCCATGTTTAGCTACATTGTGTGGGAGCCTTCCCACAGGACACATGCTGGTGCCATGGCATAGATGAGGGAGCGTTCGTACGTACCTTTGGTAATGTCATAGCCCTCTCCTGGGAGGAAAGGATCAGTGGGATGGAATTGTTGCTCAGTATTGGCAGATGTTATCTCACTGCTATGAAACACTAATCAGCTTACCAGGAGGCTCTGGTTTCTCAGCCCTCAGCCAACAGGTAGGGAGGAAGGAGAAGTAATCCGATTGAATTGGAAATGCAGACTTGACTTTGCTTCTCATGTCACCTCGTGAACCATAATAAAGGGAGAAGCACTTGGGAAGCAGGACCATCTCATCTCATTTGTACAGCGTAATGGTATCCACTTCCCAGCTGTTTGCATACAACGTGGTACTTCAGAACCAACTGCTGCTTCCTGGTCACAGGCAGGGTAGATGAAAAGATGGACTGTCGAAGAACAAGGCAATTTCTTGTTGCAAAGGATGTTTTAATGTATGGAAGAGAGAAATTAACTAGGTCCTACTTTATACCCACCCCGTGTTTGTGCTGTTAGTGCAAAAGGATGTCTTTGGTCTTTGTGGTGCTTTCAGAATGAAGCAAGAAATTCTGCCAGAGTGTTTTGGGAGATGACAGCAATTCAGAGAGGTGCTACAGAACTGAGCACTAGGATACCTTGAAGTGGGGCTTTTGCTCCAGTAAGCAGTGCTGCATGTCTCTTCCATTAGGCATCTTCCAAACGCACAAGCACTGTTTCTTCATGGCTCGGTGAAATAAAAGCTCTGTAGCCTTATAATGCAATTTTGCTGCATAATGTGGTGGTGCAAAAATGGCACCAAGTTCTGTTCATGGATGTTTCACCAGGAGCAGTTGGAATAGAGCTGCTTCAGTAATACACAAGTTAACTGCAGCAGCGTTAGGAAATGGACTGGATTCTGTTTCCCTCATGTGGTCCAATAAATGGAATACTTGTCTAAAAAGCTAATGACAGATGAAGACATTTGAACTGGGTCAGTTGGTATCTCAGCTGATGGGGTTTTGTTACTGTTAATGATGTGTCATAATGGAAAACACAAACCAAATCTGTAGGATGGGTGTGTATGTGTGGTCCATGCTTGTAACTGAGAGACATCTGGTTTGGAAGCACAGGAAATGGGGACCTCGCTATGCTGGATTTTTAAAGTCACCTTCCAGAATAAGACCAATTCTTCTAAGAGGTGCCCATAGTTGGTAGGTGTGTTCCAGAGTGTAAAGACGTGCCTTGTATTAACTTGTGTGGGATTTCTTTTCACTATTTATTTTCCACTCCATTTCAAGTACTTCAAAACCAGATTTAAACGTAACACTTTTCATTTCTCTGTTTTCAGAAATGAGTAAAGCTAGCAGCCCTACGTAATGTGCTGATGGCATTCTGTGCTGCATCGGGACTGATACATCAGGAGAGTGTGATGCCTGGAAATCTCCTCTCGGATTCTCCTGAAATGGCATCCGAAGGCTCTCCAAAGCATGCACATGGGAGCATGGAGAATCGTGGCAGCCAAGCTAAGGGCAGAAATCTTGCCTTGGTAAGTGTTTAATGAGCCTTACGTTTAATGAGCCTTATTACATTAGTAGCTTTGTTTACATCACAGGGTTATTTTTGTTACTTAAGCATTGATTTGCCATTTCTGGTCCTAAATGGTTGCTTGTGGTCTTGGTTGTTAACAAACTGAAAGGCCAGAAATTACTATCCTTATTTGGTACAACAGCTTGTTGTTCTGGCCTGATTGAGAGCTTGCAGAGTGCTTCTCTTGACTGTTCCTCTCGGAGAACCAGAGATGGTGGTAAGGCTTGGTGCAGCCACCAGCAATTGGTGTACATCTGCCCTCACTTTAAGCATCTTGTAAAGGAACTTAAGGATAGTGTTTCATGCTTAAGCTCTTTGTTGACACTACTGAGTGACGGTCTCGGCTTATTCCACCTTCATGTAATTAGGTGAGTAACAAGTACATCACCATAAACAAAGCTGTCTTCACATTAGTGAATATGAGTGTGTGGCTGTTTAAATAGTACATGAGTAATTGAGGGAGTAGGATGCACTGCTGCATTTTCTTGAATGATCAGGATGATTCAGGCAGTACTGTTTGTACTGTGACAGGCTAAGCCTAGAAAGCAGCTATAGTTCCTTGCTTATGGTTTTTATCACCACAACCATTTGAAAAGCATCCATCTTTAAGTGAGGAAAGAGCACTCTGGTAAACTTGCTTTCCCTAAATGGGAAGTCTTGCCTTCAACGTGGAATCAGGCTTTCCATGTCTTTCTTTCTGTCTTCCCCACTACCTTCCTTATAGTGAAGTTTTCTGTGAAAGAATAAGTGGTAAAAATAAGTTAGCAAGTTGGTATCTCTATTCATCTATATACCTCAGTGGGTTTGTGCTACTTCATGAGCCTTTTGGTAACTGGAGGTAATTCTGAAGATCTTCCTTTTTTGTTGCTTCTCATGAAAATGCATCTCACTATTGTGCTTGTATCCTTCAGCTTGTGCTGCTAGTTAAACCACAAAGCAAGTATTGCTAAATATAGTCCCTTAACTGCTTCTGATCTGTGCTAGGAAAACGTTATGGAGGGAGGCCAGGAGCATTAGCCAAGTGTTCCATTTGGGCCCAGGTATTTAGAGCATGTTGTTTATTATATGGAACTGTTTGGATCTTAGAGAATTACAGTGGGAGTTGCACTCTGTTAAAGGATTACACCTTAATTTGGTGCAGAATTACAAGTTAATTGTATGCATTACTCTTGACTCCAGTTTTTCAGGTTATCAAATCATGTTTTCGTGGGGTTTATTCTTGGCTGCAGTAGCAGGTGTGAGACTGGCCATTTGAGAGAATCACTGTTGAGTAATGAGGAGGCTGTGTATAAATCAGTGTGTTTGTCCAGCCTCATCCTGAGTCTGCTGTGTCAGAAAATGACATAGATTCCCTTGGTCTAAGTAGATAACACCATGTGATAACCCAGATGATGATGCGTCAGCTGGAATTGGAATCCCTTCCTGCTCTGTAATGTTGTAATTTATAGATGGAGTAAAAGCTGGCTGCAGGTTTAGGCAATTCCCATCAGACCTATGCATCAGCAAAAGAAGTTCCAGAAGCCTTTAGCTTGTCTTGTTTGAGTTTATGCATGAAGAAAGTGAAGCATGTACCAATGAGTTTAATTCTGGTGCCATAGGTTCCCTTCCTTGCCTGTTCTTTTAGCATTAGAGTAGGTGGCATGTCTGATAAGGCTGACAACTAGCAGGCATGGAATAACAGGTTAGGGAATGGAAATGCCTTTCAATAAAGGCATCATTTCAGTTTCTGAGTTTGGTGCTGGGTTTGAACTGAATGTGAAGGAAACTGCCAATTGTGATTGAGTAAACAGCAGTCAGCTCTTTAGTGCTGCTCACATCTTTCCTTCTTGTCATCTGATGTAAGTATTGTTTCACTGCCCGATAGCTATTGTCTGTTCAGTACTGAAACAGGCTTTGGAAATCCTCAGGATAGAAAGCAGTATTCTTCAAATGCTTTTCTATTTCCTTGTGTAGCTGTCTGTGGGGTTTATAGCTCACATGGGGATCGGGGATTCGTAAGAGGAAAAGCTGGTTGCTGGAACGTGCTCCCAGAGACCTTAACTTCCTCTTTCAGTAGTTTTGTTATAAAAGTTCAGAAGATGCAGCAGCTTTGGCCTAATGAGGAGGCCGGGATAGAAAACTGTGGACAAATAATCTCATATTAGACCAATCCTGAGAAGGGAAGGGGCAGATTTTTCAGACACTCAAGACGGAAACAGCAGCAATTGCAGACTTACCTGCTTCTTAATGTATTACTTTGCTGTGTCTGTGCACCTACAGACACAGCAAGGAAGGTCAGAGTTAACTCTAATTTATCATTTTAATTTATAATTAAATTTAATTTAGAATT